ATTCTGGCCAACAGCTTCAGCCTTCTGGAAAAAAACTCAATGCTTATTGGCAGCTTCTAGTTAATTTGGTACTTTACCTACTGGGGCTTTGCTGGACAGTTGCATTTTGTTACATGGACAGTGCGAAGGCGAATTCAAAGGCGAGCTATTTGGCGCCACGAGCAATGTGTGCAAAAAGACTGGGTGCACTCCAGCACCCACCAGGCTAGACCACTGCTCGGATTTGCTAGAGCTAGCCCAGACATTTGTTGTGGTTTCGAGTTTGCGACAAAGGGAGACGCCTGTGCTGCCAGGCAGCCAGGCCGGCGTTTGAAACGAGCGCTTACAAAAAATGATATGATTGACACAAGAAGCGATGCGACAGGCAGGGTTCGAAGTGGGTCCCACCACCTTTGTGGCCGTGCAGGATTTGGGCGTCGGTTTTTTAACAACCCGTTTCTTCACACACCTCACACACGTCAGCTGAAATGGCAGTTTGTCGGACCGCATTGCGGCGGCTTTCCCCACGTCGCTCAATCTTTGCGTCGCCATCGCTTCCAATCTCATACCCTCAAGATCAAATCATGAAAAATTCAAAATGGTCACTTGGCAGCATTTCTGCCGCGCTCGGCTTCGGCACGGCGCGTCCACGTCCACGATCAGAGCCGCGTTCCTTTCCTTCTTCGGGGTATGATATCGTTGACCGCGATCAGCTCGTCGAAGAGGAAACAATTCCGGAATATAAACCCAATCATTTTTATTCCGTTCGTTTGGGCGAGGTCTTCAATGCCAGATTCCAGGCGGTAGCCAAACTCGGTTACGGATCGTCCTCCACTATCTGGCTTGCTCGCGACCTGGAGTGAGTGGGTCTGCTTGCCCGCGACCGTGATCCGCAAACCTCCCAGGAGGTTAGAATGACAGCTAACCCTGGCCGTAGAGACCACCAATACGTGGCTCTCAAGATCTACATACACAACTCGGTCCAACATCGGGAGCTGCCCTTCTACAAGAGGCTCAGCGAGGTCCTGCCTAGGAACCACATTGGTGCTGCCAATATCAGACACCTCCAAGACTCCTTTGAGGTCACGGGCCCTCATGGGAAGCACAGGGCATTGGTTCTGCAAGTGTCTCAAATGAGCCTGCGCGACATGGACATCGTCTTCATGAAGGGTCGCGGTTTTGATGAGAGCTTTGTCAAGAGCGCCATCAAGGAACTTTTGCAAGCTGTCGATTTTTTGCATACAGAAGTGCAGGTAGTACACACCGGTATGAAACTCTCCTTGGATCTGTTGTGTCTGCACAGTTACTGAGGCTCAGCAAATCTACGTTAGATATCCACCCTGGCAATCTGCTACTCGGTCTCAACGACAACTCCCTTTTCAAGGCTCTGGAAGAAAACGAGAAGGCAAACCCCGTGCCTCGGAAGGAGCTTTCTGATCGAACCATCTATCTTTCCCGTCTTATGAAACCAAAAGTTGGACCACTGCTTCTCTCAGACTTTGGTGAAGCTCGATTGGGACCCGGCCCTCATATTGGCGATATTATGCCCATCATGTACCGGGCCCCCGAGACGCTCCTCAACATCCCATGGAGCTACCCGGTGGATATATGGGGCGTTGGACTTACTGTAGGTCTCATCTGCTCGCCTCCCTTTATGTGTGACGACGCTGACATTATGATATTTCAGGCCTGGGATCTTCTCCAAGGAAGAACTCTCTTCACGGCCCGCAAAGACGACGGCAGCCTTTCCGACGGTGCTCATCTTTCGGAACTCATTGCAGCCTTGGGACCACCGCCTGCCGATCTTCTCGCTCGAAACCGAGACAGGGCACTCGAATACTGGGATGAGAGCGAAGCATGGGGCGACTTCGTCCCGATCCCAGCCAAACGGACGTTGGATGCTGCCGAGTCAAAACTGCAGGATAACACCAAGTTCCTCCAGTTCATGCGAAGAACTCTTGCCTGGGACCCTAGCAAGCGTCCAACTGCACGGGAGCTCCTGGGGGATCCTTGGCTGCTAGAGTAAACTGATGAATCTCTTCTGTAACAATACCCACCTGAGCCTATTCGTTCTACATAGCGTTTCATACTTATTTTAATGTCCAATATCTCCCTCTCTCGTCATTCTATAGGCACAGCATTTCTCTCTCCACTGCCTATCACTTAGTCCTAGGCTGTCGTTCATTTGCCCTCCATTATGAACAACTTGAAATAGCACGCCGTTGGCCCGTTTCTTGCCGCGGTCGTATTCAAGTTGGCTGTATTGCATCTGCAGTGATTGATCCCACAATTAGGCTGAAATAGGTGGTGACCTATTGCAAGCTCGCAGTGTTCTCGGGTTTTTCCTTCTCGGGAGCCAAGCAGAGCCCGGCCACCAATCAAGACTACCTAGGTAGTCTGGGCTGGGAAAACAGTGGACAATGGCAACTGTGAGTGCCCAGACTCGTCTCATGAGCACCTGCTTCCCTCGCCTCATTGAATAGGTACCATTCAAGCCTATATATATATACTCTTTGCCATCTGCGTTATATTCCTCAATTGAAAAGATGTCCGCCCCTGCCCGAACAAGTGAGACAAGAATCCTGGAAAATGTAGCCTCTGTGCGGTGATCCTTCAACAGTGTCAAAGTCCGCAGAAGCAACGAACGACCCTACTCGTCAACTTGATTCGGGCCCCCACCTGTGGCAAGGTATAGATTGACGTAATATTCGGTCTGTTTCACGGCCTCTTCGTCGAACAAGTCAAACGGGTCGAGTGTAGCACCAAATCTCTGCAAAACTTGCGCGCATTCGATTACAGCCCCATCCGGCACCGTGGCCTTGTGCATGTCCATGTCACTTTCATAAAGGCAAGCCCAAGCAGCAAGGCAACTGAGCTCGGAATCAAAATGAAAGGCCAAACCTGGACTCAAGTAAGTGCAGAACATCTTCCACAGATCGGGGGTCAAGAGATAAATAGGACAGGGTGTTCATCGCCAAAATAGGTGGTAAGGATTGAACCACGCATCATCAAAATTTCATATTGGAAGCATCCAATAATATTTCGCTATAAGGAAACTCGAGGAGCAAATATCGGACTATCTTTGTTGCTCTCCATACAATCGCCATCTAAACACCAATGTCAAAGCCATGTTATATGAACTAAGATTTCTTCTTTGCATCCATACCTGAAGCATGTTGTAGCCATTCTCGTCATGGTCGCAAATGGTCAGCCGATGTTGACGCATGAGCTCCTTGAGGCCGGAGAGATCATCCTCTATGCAGACATGCCAAATTGGTGAGACAAGCGGGACAACACGTGTTGGCAAAATGCTCGGGCAGATGTCGTAATAGCCATGGGTGTTTTGACCGGACGAGTACATGACTGATAGGCCTGCTGAAAGAAGCCAGGGTTGGGGGATGATGTCGACTCGGATTCGGAAGAAAGTCGAGCCGTTATAGTTAGAAGTAGCATCGTAACGGTATCGAGAGGTTTCAACATGGATCAAAAGGTGAAATAGCTTGTTGTAAAAACGGCGTGTGTGTGAGGAAAGCATCACCCCTTTTAACCGTAGGCTTGCCGGTTTCTTTTCCGGCATTTTGGTGCTCTGTGCCCACGGCGGAGAGCACTCCCCTTCAAGCCGACTCACGCTCCTTTCTCCGTGACCCGCCGTTCCTGGCGGTGGAAGTTCTGAGCGATGACCTGCTGACTGAAGACGACTAGCTTCTTCCGAAACGGCGAGGGCTGTTTTGTCTATTGCGCCCGCTGAAATCTTGAGCCGATGGGAGAGAGGTTCAAGTTGCTGCTTCAGCTCAGCTCGGACAATGCGTCCAAGCAGACCAGGATTGTTGATGGCGATTGAGAGTCTGCCGGCGGCGGCGAGGGAGTTGAGGCTCTGGGACTGCGCGCTGACCAGTGAGGTCAATGCCTCGGATCGCTGCTCGAGGTTCTGGGCGAGCGCGGTATGGTTCGTTGCAAGCCCGTCGAATTTCCCATGGAGGGACAAGACCTCGTCTCGCAGGGAGATGTCATTCAACCTGGTAGAACGCGACACGAGTGAGCACAGAGAGAACAGTGAGCACAGGACAGAGCGCTCATGGTAACCGTTCTCACCCTACCTGCCGATAAACTCGAGTGCAAGCGTGGCCGCGGTCTTGCGCTGCTCTAACCTCTGCACAAGTTCCCTCGTCGACTTCTTGTCGATAACGAATTTGACCTTTGCAGTCAATGAAGGCGACAGGTCTGATGGAAGGTGGCGGCGGAGAAGCTGCAGATCGTCGGAGAACTGTCGCGCGATTTGAATAATCGAGTCGGGAGTGAGTGCCCTGTGGTGAGCGACTGAAGACGGTGACCGCTGGACTGCGACACAGTACATCTGCAAGTCACGCATGAGACGCTCAGTCTGTCTCTGCGAGATCTTCCGCCAGGGCGCGGATGTCGTCCCGGACGTGCTTGAGGGACTTGATGAAGCCATAGGCCATGCTTGAGAACTTGACGGACGCGTCAAGCGGCTGGACAGCGCCAGATACAGCACCGAGGGCTGTTAACGGATCCATGAAAAGTGAGCTGGGTAACGAAAATGAGGGCCGTGGGAGGTCAGGCAATCAGCCTCGATGCGGACTGGATGGCGCCGTTGCTATCATTGCTGCGAAGCGAACCTGAAAAGCGAAGAAACAAAAAGAGTTTTGGGAAGAAACGATGCGAGCGGGGAAACGCGCGAGAAGAGTGAGAATGTGGCGCTGTTCAGCTTTGCCATTCTTCCTTGGACGCAGCCTGCAGAGGACGTTGCCCAAATCCACGGACTCATTGGATACCGAGAATCAATGTCTTCTACAGGTGGTGGCGGAGGGCTGCCAGGGGTAGATGGGGAAGGGTCGTCGGAGTCGGGCGTCAGGCAGATACAATCGATATTGTCTGTAGATGGATAGCAAACGTTCACGGCCCCTATAACGGGGATAAAAACACAGCGCGACAAACAGCAGTTATGTAGCAAGAAGAAAAGGAAAGAGAGCGGAAACAATTGATTTGTGGCGCAAAAAGTGGGGCTCCGTCGGGATTCGAACCCGAGACCTCACACATTCATATCACCTGTTGGAGCAGGCGAAGGGGGAAAACCCGAAGCATGAATCATACCACTAGACCACGGAGCCTGTTTATGTTGCATGACTGGCAGCAAGGACTAGTCTAAGGAAGGCTACGGCACCCCTCTTCCTGCTCCTGCATCCTCGATGTCAACATCATGCATGCCCCTTTGAATCTGTTGATTTCTTTTCCCAATCTGATGGCAAATGCTTGTTTTAGAAAGAGGAAAGAGGTGATCACGCTTGCTCTTGCATGTCCCTAGAGATGCATTTCAATGACTTACACGCTGTAGTACTTCTAAAATATCTAGCAGTATTACTCAGGTACCCTGTAACGCGTACACTATCACGGGTTGCTGGTTTACTCCCAATTAAGCCCGCTACTATCTCCTCCTTGCTTATCCATTCCAGTATCTCTCACATTTCTACGACGAGCCAGTTTCAGCACATGCCAGCACATTTTCACAATGTTCAGCCGTGGATCAACATCAACCAACAGCAAGAAGAACAAAAGATTGCATGAAGCTCAAGAGATATATACATGACAACAGCTTCGCATGATACTCACAACTGCCAACTGCGTATAACCAACTATATACAGAGAATCCACATCGACAGCTTCACCCACTCACACCTCCTCCCACACCTCAATGCTCCTACACGCACTGGGAGTAATAAGGAGGCGAGACAGCACTGCACGTCGCCCCCGACACGCACGTCGTGCAGCCGGTATACCCGGTCCCTCCACACTGGGCATATTTCGCCACGGTGCACGATCCGCCGCCCACGGGCGCCGCCGTGCCCGTCGCCGCAGCGCTGGTAGAAACCTTAGTCGCCGTAGCGACGGGACCGGCGCCGACCGTGCAGGTAGACTCACATCCGCTGCAACCGGCGCCCGCGCTCTTGGTCGACCCACCAGCATACACAGTCGGGCCGGGCGCGATGTAGGTCGACAGCGCGGCGTGGATGTCGACGAGGATGCCGGGGTCGGTGGCCTTGTACGCGCCGGGGAAGAGCACGGTCGGCGGGGCGGCGGCGCCGGTGCCGGACACGGCGAGCTGGAAGCACGTCATGTACAGCTGGGCGTTGCCCAGCGTGCCGGCCGTGTGCAGCGCGATCACCTCGGCGCGCAGGAGGTAGTCGCCCGGGGCCAGGTCGGCGGGGATCTTGACGTTCATCTTGCCGCAGCAGGCGTTGAGGTCCTTGACGCCCCAGTAGTCGTCATCGCCCGAGATGGTGCCGGTTTTCTTGGCCCAGCTGTCCTGGAAGACTTTGAACCAGCCTGTGGACCCGTCGGCGGTTGTCGCGTCGGAGACTTTGGACATGTACACCATCACTGGGCCGTAGTGCGCGCCGCCGATGGCTTCGATTGTGCAGTTTCTGGCGTTGGGTTGCTGGAGGGGGGTGGTTAGTTAGTTTTGGGGTCTTTTGTTTGATGGTGTTATGGGTCCGGGTGGAGGCAGGTTCACTGACTTGGTGCATCTCAACGGTGACTGTTGATCCCGCCTTGACGGGGCACTTGCTGAGTACGGTACTCGTGCCGGCATTGCAGCGGAGGTCGTTCGAAGTCACGCTGGTGACTGGGTTGTTGGAGCCTGGCAGCCGAGCACACTGGGACCCAAAGTCGGCGCCCTCAGACCAGAGGGCCTGGAAGGTAGCGTGGCCGGCGACATTTTGGGCCCAGAGAGCCGCGACGGCGGCGATGCTGAACGACTTCATTTTGATTGTTTATCGTGCTTGAAGAACTGCAAGTCGACAAGGTTAATGTGCCCGCAGAACCAAGAGAATCATATGACGGACAACTGCGCGGCCATGGCTGGATTTATACACATTCTCTCCGTCCTTCATCAATGCCACGGTCTCATCCCACAGACACTGACCTGACGCAACAGTCCACCGGTCCTCCAATCTCGACTGCACGCTCGCTCCCCCCGCAAAAAGCAGTCGGCAACCTGACTTGCAAAAGAATGCAACCTCCCATCGGCAAGACTCTGCGCAGTCCCGTGGTCGAGAGCAGATCAAGTCGGCCGACTGGCACTCTGTTTCCCCACAGAAACACCACCCCAGACTTGATGCACGCACGTGAACCGGGGGCATGGACACACGCTCACGAGCCAAACCCGGTCGGCGGAGACGAGCGATTGGTGGACTCGGCGGATAATCTGCCTGGGTAATCAAGTCGACACGACGCTGGCGGAAGGTGAGCCGCCACAGGGTCCCAGAACCAGGGAAACGGGGGATGGCGAGCCGTGGCCATTCGGGTATCGGCTGCTTCTCCGCATCGACGTGGCATGCGAAAAGGGCCCTGGGCCGCCAAGAGTTTATCCGTGATGACCAGACGGTTCCGTTGCATCTTGCAGGTCGGGCGAGAATGATCATGACGAGATTTGCGCAGCAGGGAATGGTCACCGGGACACATGCTTGGTTGTGGGAAGCTTGGGTGGCATGTGGTTGTGTTTGTTTTCGTTTGCATTGCCTTGGTCCCACAATCTCGCCAGCCTTGTCGTTGACACGGGATAAGCCTTGGCATGCTTTGTCTTGATTAACACCTACAGACAGATTTCATGTAACCTGGAACCTGGGATTGCAAATTGTGAGTATGGATGTGCCCTTGCTGCTGGATCCCTGCTGCAGAACTCCCGTTATTATAGCGCCCGTTACGACAAGCTTTTCCATTGCCAGTGCTTGAAACTGGACAACTCGAATCGAACGCCAGAGCACCGAGCCGCGGTTCCCGGTTGCGGCCCGACTGCTAGTCTCCATTCGTTTCAAGTGACTACCAGAAATCCGGGGAAGTCGAATGTAGTGGACGCTACAAGCACCGCAGAGTAGGATCTGGCTTGGATGTTCGGATGCACCAGCCGATATTGCGGCCCCCCCACTCAGATAGACTGCACATGCGTCATAAGATGGAAGGTTCCATTCAACAACTGCCAGCCTGCTTTTGGCCTTCTGCATTGTGCTCGCCAAGGCAGATGACGTACCCGATTCTCGCCTTGCACTGTACGCCCTAGTTCATTCTGAGTTTCTTGTCTCGTTTGTCCGGTTCAAGGATGAGGTTGCATTCAAGAACGAACGACCTCAACTATCATAGCTGTCGATACCAGACAGTATTTGACTAGCCCATGAAAGCAGATATTCGGTTGCTTTTGAGCCTTTCTGAGATTCTTGGCACGAACCGCTGTCTTTGGAAGTCTTCAACAGGAAATTGTGTCAGCATCTTTTACACTTGATACTGCCTTGCTAGTGAGCTTATTTGGACAGGTTTAAGCCTAATCACCCTGGTATGCCTAGGGCTCGAACTCGACTCAGGTAGAAAGAGAGTCTACCTACCAGGTATTTAGCAGGAAAATAGTGTCTCTGTAAGCACCAAGAGTACCTAGGTATTTAGTGGTTTGTATAGTCCGATAACAGACAGTCAATATCATGTACTATTTAGCTCCCGCCCGGGCAGAAAGGTCGACTTTCGCAAAATTCAATACCCTAGTCACTTTAAGTTGCGCGAGAACAATAGGTAGCCGTGTGATAAACCCTCGTTCCCCCATGAGATACTGTGAATTGGACGCCCCCAGTTTATTTAAAGACCCGGCCAAATATAACTCTCCACTTCATCTTATTGATTATAACGTCACCCAAACACGGCCAGGGAATGGTCGTTCTTCCATATTTCGCACTTTGTTTACTTTCTTAGATTCTTGACGAATCTTTTCCGAAATGAACCTTTAGAATATCCGCTTCACTGATGTGGTCATCACTTTGCCTAGCTCATACATTGATTTCAACAAGTCTTCTCCCTCCTGAGACATAACTCACTGAAGCGTGTAGTCCGGTGCTAAGCACTCACACTAGGCCCACTAATCTCATTCTTGCGTCTTGCTTAGATCTCAGATGTAGATACACCGGGACTGGGTCGCCACACCAACGGGAGATGGAAACACGAGTCGGAACTGGTCGGGGCAGTTTCAATCTGAGAGAAAACAACGGCAGAAATTGTCTCGATACTTGAATCCAGGACCGGTGGTTATGTCACCCGTTTCTGTCCCTGGTAAAAATATGAGTTGTCTGAGCCTTGTATGTTTCTAGTGTTTGTTATCTTCGATCACAACAGGATATGCACATCATTATATTACGTAGCAGACCATGAGAAGAAGCAATAGAGACGTGTCAATTGACAAAGAAGTAATGCCAACAGTCAAACACCACAAATATCATCAACCGCATGTAATCAATTGCTACTAACACCCCGTACAACGAGGTCTGCCAGACTTTTAAGTCGTGGCAATCATACTAGAGCTTGAGACTGGAGCCAACATTCCCTTCTCTAAAGATATGAGAGAAAACAAGCATCAGGTCATCATTATTGCAAACTTGGTAAGAAAAAGGTTAATATCCTGACCGTCAAATGCTTAAATCGTTTAACGTTAGCAAAATTGACAATTACTAACCTTATCTGACCTACGACAGATAAGCATAACACTCGTTCTTTTCCAAGACTCCTCCAGGTACTATATTGGTCCAACCATAGATAAGCAACAGGTTCAACAACTGATGAGGATGGGCAGCAAGGATCCCATCCATACCCGCCGGCTGCACAGATGCCTCAAACTGCGGCAGCCGCAAAACCCAAAAGCCCAACAAGAAAATTCTCCGTCTGTCCACCATTCTGTCCCCCACCGCGGCCAGACAAGCATGCCATAACATTCGCTGACCCTGCCTCTCCCCGAGCATATTGTAGTTCGGCTTTTCCTTGCTCAACTGGGCTAATTACTCATTGCAGTGTCAGGTACCAAACGAAAATGGCAGATGAGTGGATGCGCTGCACCAGACCAGGCTTTTTTGCATCTCAAAAGTTCAAAAAAGAAGCTTGGTCATATCATGGCGCCTTGTCTTGTCCAGCTCCATGTCTAGCAGGCCGATGAATTATTATTCTAATGGGATCGGGAACACGAGAACTGTTTACAAACATATCTGTATTTCTTTTTGTTTTCCTTAATGTGGTGTAGCGAGATCTTAGGTGTCCCTACTCCACAGTCCCTATACGTAGGGGCAAACGGGTCAGCGGATTAGCT